ATGAAGCCGCGTCTTTGGTTGTGTTGTCTGCGTTTGCATTCTGTGAGAATCCTGTTGTGAAATATGAGAATAGATTACTTCCGGATAGATTTCGCGTTAAGCCTTTAAACGTAGGTATGTATAACTGTATTTGTTTGTCGGTTGGTTGATTTTTTTTTTAGAAATAGGTGTGAGATAAAAAGACTCGAGAGAAAAAATATTGCTTTTGATGAAATAATAAGCTTTATAACAAGTGATGAGTATTACTTGTATAGCAATTATTTTATGCTGATATTGGGATCCTGTAAATATCAACCTTATCGCTTTCTTTTGCTTTCTTTCGTTTTTCTTCCTCCATTTGCTTCTCTGCAGCCTCTCTTTCTTTTGAAAGTCGTATCAAATAAGCATAGATGTTCTTCGCATCGCTCATCGCCAAATTAGTGCCCCCACACACAAGTTTATTATTCCACAAAACCAGAGTATTAGAGATCATGTCGTAATCTTTTTCTAATGCCGTTACGAGCGACGTGACGCAAGTATGCGGTGAACCAGGAAGTGGAAGATAATACATTCCTGAATAATCGTTAAAAGAGAAAATCAGTCAGTATAAACAACGTAAAATTGAATAGAAAGACACAGTGTAGCTGGAATAGATTGTTACCATCGATGATCTTCGTTAGTTCGGTTTTTTCCCAATCCCATTCAAATACCCAAGTCCCGTAGAAATCCGATAATTTTGATTTCAAGCCGGATACTCCTGAATTCTTCATAATGCTGCTAAACGTTCCATTGAATAACTAAAATTGACAGATCCAGATAGAATCAGCAAGGTGGGAAGAGTAACTTTTTGCGGGTGATATCAAGGAACCGAATATGAAAGACTTATCCGTGACGTTGAAATCGCATACGTACCCGAAACAACTCATACCCCAGCTCGAGCATTTTTCTTATTTCTGAATCGTGCAAATTCTCGTCGAGATATTCAAAAATCGGTTTGGTCTTGCCATCTTTGGCTTTTACCGTTTTCTGAAGATAACCTAATTGCACAGACTAAGTCAAATACCGATTTTTTTTCAGTTAACAACAATGATTTTATAATAGACATGCGAATCCGGTGAAGATATCATCAGTAAATAGACTTTACAATATGAATCCAATACCCTGGTTCGGGCTCCAGAAACGCAAGCCTGTTCTTCTGAGTATGTACATTTTCACATGGTTTAGAGGAGGAAAACACTCTACAGGTTTAGTGAAAGTTAGATAAACATGCCGGATAGAAAATTAACCGGTATCGATCATGGATCCTAGGATTTCAATAACTGGGAAAGCATACTTTGTAAAGTTTACAAGTGCCTGAGCTAGACCAGTCTGTCGAACCTGTACATTGATCGGAACTTCATCCTGCGCAGTATAGAACAGAAGTTGTTTGTCTTGTGTCTCCTCAGTAGTTCCAAGGGAGGGGTTGTAGACGCAAAAATATGCAAGTTTAGGCGGGACAGAAACAATTGACGTGTTCGTCGCTCTGAAATCCATCATCTTTTTAAGCGGATGGGAAAATGAGTTACGGCCGGGGGCCCAAACATTTGATGAACACGCAGCCAATGAGAATAAATAAGATCACTGTGTAAATTTTAAAAAAGTGGAGTTTCGGTAGGCGAAAAGTAATAAACGATGATAACTGCGTCAAGCGGATCTTCTCTCCCTTTTAGAAGGTGCGCTATTTCGCGGTGTTACGTAATATGGGTGTGCTCCTTGGAAAGCAAAATTTTGAAACGATTCATTGAACGAAAAACGTCATGCCTTCCTTTATTTTCTTATTGTATTTTTAGTACCGATAAAAAGGAACTTGCTCATGGCGTAATTAAAAATGCTGGCATCGTATGTAAAGTAAGGTACTATTACAGTTATCGCAATTATCGCTCGCAATTATCGTAGTTATCATAGTTATCGCACCCCCCATCGTATAGCCTAAAGCAAGTCTGTGCGTTCTATCATTTCCATCTAACATGTTGAGCACAATTTCGAACAAGTCAAAGACAAGTTTCTTTGTATGCGTCGAACCTAGTTGTTCTTTAATTGTTAAAGAAAGTTTTTGTTTATTCTTTGTTCTCTTCGAAATAGAAAAGGTATAGTTTTGGGGTGTTTATTGACGAACGCTTAATATATAGGAAATTAAAATGATATAAATAGGAATGATGCATGAATTGCATATGAAAGTATTCTCTTTTAGCATACATCAAATCGCATTTGTTTTCTCTCTTGAAGATAATCTATGCCCAAGCCCCATTTCCGGGTAAAAAGGTATTTATCGTATCGTTATATGAATTATCTCATCTCTATAGAAAATGAACATTGGTGATTCATATCAAATTCGACCAATGGCGACCGATTATTAGGCCACTAAAAAGCTCCCCCTACTTCCCAACTCGATGTTCAACACTTGAACTTCTTAAACTTTTTTCACCTTCAGAACAACCTTTAATTAATGTATTACTAATTTAATAGTTGCCTTATTATAGAACTTATTTATCCACGCAAAGCCTTAGTTACAGACAGGTAAGTCCAAATAAGTCTTGTTTCAAGGCCTTACGCTATATATAAGCAAAGGTTAAGGTTTAATCATTTGTTAAAACTTACACAAAACAAATTTGTTTTTTCATGCGATACATGTTTCATAATACGTTTTATAAGACATTACCTTATAACGCCTAGTGTATACTATCTGTTCGTTCTCGTCTTTCACCGTGGACACATTGCTAAGACAATAAATATTAACCCTAACCCTAGTCTAACAGAAACTTCTCCCTCCTCAGTTACTCTTATTCTCTTCTCTTCCATCGTATCCTGTCCACGGAAGAGACGCAATATATTGTGTTCAGTCGGATATCATGGTATTAAATTCACAAACTCATTTGTCTTTACTTGCACATATACAATTATAATAGTTACAAATCACCGTTGAAATCTCTCCCGGGTTATCTTTTACTTGATCAGATGATGTCCAACCATAATGAATCCACCATGTCATGGAAGACGCGCGTGTCTGATGATGATGATGATGACTTCGTTGCCGATAAATGCGACGAGATAAATAGTCAAGATACTGACACGCCTGTTATAGTAGATAATGATAATTCGATGACGGTGGGTGATTATGAGCAAATCGTGACTGGGGATAAATTGGACATTCCTTCTAGTAGTTCAAGTAATTCGCCTAAAACTAAACGAATATATAGACTCAGAAAGACTAAAGCCGCGGCTGCTGCTGCTGCTATGGGGTTGCCGAGAAGTGCTATTACTTGTGCTCCAATCGATAAAGAGGGTCGTTTTAGAAATCCTAACATATCGTTTGTGTTATGTGAGAGAGATAATATGGGCCGTGGGAATCAGAGTGAGTCAAACGAGTCATCGCAGACTAATGTCGGAAACGATGCCGGTACACATGGGTTGAGATCTGCAGGAGCCGAAAAGGTACTAAACTCATCTTCATCTAAATTGTTTTT